TATGAATCAAGACAAACACAGTTGTAGAGGAAAATACTGGTATATTCATAAAAACAATTAACAATAGAGTGATTAGTAGAACGAAGGTTGGTTAGTACGAAACAATATCCAAAGTCTATAGTCCAACGGTATGTACCGGGTAAGCTTATCTGGACTGCTCAGATATTCAGTCACCCCCCCACGAGGGTGTCATGTGGCACAAGGCCTTTTTAACGTGGGCATTCCCGAGCCATTAGGCTCGGCCAAAAAATAGCCCATTTGAACCCGTATAAACGGGTTCAGGGCCGGAGCAACCTCCCCGAAGGAGACTCCGCCCTTCGGCGTAGCCTCCTTCGGGTTCCTCTCGCCCGTAGGAAGAGAGTTGAAACCGAGCAGTCGCTCAGAAAGTATCTGGGCTACTCAGATATTCAGTCACCCCCCACGAGGGTGTCATGTGGCACAAGGCCTTTTAACGTGGCCATTCCCGTGCCATTAGGCTCGGCAAAAAATAGCCCATTTGAACCCGTATAAACGGGTTCAGGGCCGGTTTAACCTCCCCGAAGGAGACTCCGCCCTTCGGCGTAGCCTCCTTCGGGTTCCTCTCGCCCGTAGGAAGAGAGTTGAAACCGAGCAGTCGCTCAGAAAGTATCTGGGCTGCTCAGATATTCAGTCACCCCCACGAGGGTGTCAGGCCTTTTTAACGTGGGCATTCCCGAGCCATTAGGCTCGGCCAAAATAGAATTTGAACCCGTATAAAACGGGTTCAGGGCCGGTTGCTCCCCGAAGGAGACTCCGCCCTTCGGCGTAGCCTCCTTCTTCCTCCCCCGTAGGAAGAGAGTTGAAACCGAGCAGTCGCTCAGAAAGTATCTGGGCTGCTCACCCTCACTCTCTCCCCAGAGCTGACTTATATAAGAGGGACCAGTCCATTACTAGTTAGAAGGTGGGTGCGCCCGAACAGTAAGGAAGGACATGTTCTCTATTTTTGGAATATTTTATAAGCTTTTGATTCGCATTGATGATAAAATAATGATTGTATTGGATAGTGTTGGAAGTATTTTCAATATTTTCTCCGACTTTGGTTTATTTACAAGAATCGGTATGTCAGTATCACGGGAATATATTAAGAAATTAATATTACCATTTCTATTGCTGCACAAGTTCAATTTGTTGTTTTGATTGTCACTTGTTTGATGTAGTTGAGCCATTACCAGTTTTGTTAGAACGTACATTTCGAGCTTTGTTAGAATGTTCATTTTATGCAGTGGCATTCCAGCAGTCCTCTCATTTTCTTTGGTTAGTTAAACGAAACTGATATAGATATTTAAGAAATTGAAAAACAAAATTAAAAACACGTTACTTGTGACGCATTTCATCCGTTAGGACTTCATCGGACGTCGTTGTCACTACACATGCGCATGAACGAGAGACGCTGGTAGTATTAAAATTTTGACAGAATCTTTTGAAATAATTCTTTTTTTAAATGTTTTAATTTTAAGTTCCTGCTTTATACCTTAAGACGTCTGAGTTGAAAATGCCATCATAGTACTTGTTGTCTGAAATAGCTATTCAGATGAGGTGAGTTTGGATTTCTATTTTATGTAATTTATAAAGTCTATTATAATAAATGCATTGAGCTCTTTCTGTGGATCAATTTTATTATTTTATATTATTAGTATTAACTTGGATTATATATATATATATATATATATATATATATATATATATATATATATATATATATATATATATATAATTCAAATGTTGCTATAGTGGATAATCGTATAGACGCCCAATTCTTACTTTTGTTTTTAAACAGTGTAACATCTATCAAGATGTGGTTTCTTGATAGGATGAAAATCAAAATCTGCTGGTCCTCAAAACTCTCCTTAGCCGTTATGTAAAGCATCCCAATCTAAAGGTTAATTTCTACAAATCGAGTCACATTTTCGATCCCTGGCAATAGCGCACATTGAACTTTTTTCGTAATACGATTCTTCTTCTAAATTCCGTGTCTATTCAGGACGTAGGCGATCATGTCTCTCAAACTTTACTGCTCCTCGTAGCTCTAAATAGCTTTTATCTTTTTTTTATATTACTAAATTCTGATCTGCTATTCATTTAAACAAGGTCATTATATAGTTTATATTTTATTTTATTTTGTTTCTCTCACTTTCATACTGCCTTGTGAGTATCAAATTTTCCTTATCCTTCTACGTTTCTTTCCCCTTAACGATCCCGGCGATCATGGCCCTCCCCAATTTCCAGACCATTGCAGGTTTTTAGAAAATGTATATTTTTGTTATCTCTTCGGATTCCAATTCTGGCAACCATTCACAAGCGTTCGTTAAGTAGGTTATGTGCTGATTTTCTCGTTCCTTATTTGTCGATGACTGTCAATTGTTCTATTGCCTTAAAAACTTCAATTGTTTCTTTCTTAATCAAATTAGAATTGCCTCTTTTTTCCCATGTTCTATAACATTTTGTCATTGCTCGTTTAGTATATGTTATCCTCAACATCCTTCTAAGGACTTCATGTCAGTTGCTTTAAGTCTCTTCTTCATATGCCAGGTGATTGTCCATCATTCACTGCAACAAAGGAGGAATGTTATTTTTTATTTACTTTGTTTCTACTATAATGTATTGAATGTATTAATATCAACCTGAAATTAAACTAAAACCTGAAATCCACCATTAATGATAGGTTTCATCAAATTCATCATTATCCTTTTATAAAATTCCGCTGTTACAAAACAGATAAAAACACTCCCATAATATAATCGAGATGTGATTAAATTAAACCCAAATAACATATTGCAACGGACTAACTAGAACCAAATTCTTACCTTGAACTATAAATTAATCTTGTTTAAAATATTTCGTGTACCCTAGTTTATTGCTAATTTTAATATTATTATCAAAATCTCGTTTTATCAACTCGAACATTATGTGACAGTTCCTGTTTAAAACTGGTAAAAAGACTGTGATAAATTCAGTCAGTAGTAATTTTTTCCTCAAAGGAGCACATTTTGTTCAACTTCAACAAGCATGCAGACATTAGGCATAATAATATGCATATCAATGAATAAAAATAAAATGGTCGTTTGAAAAACCAAGAATACATGCAACCCTTCTGATCCATAGTAACCCCGACTAGTATTTCAGTAGAAAATGGTATTGATTTTATTCCCTTCCTGGGTAAGACGATAAACTACATCCTCGGTCTGGGTAAGACGATAAACTACGTCCTCGTTCTGCATAAGACGATAAACTAGGTCCTCGTTTTGGGTAAGACGATAAACTAGGTCCTCGTTTTGGGTAAGAAGATAAACTACGTCCTCGTTCTGGGTAAGACTATAAACTACATTGCACATTTTTAAAACCATCATTTGGATCGAATGTTGCCGCCACATCTGGCTTCTTGCTTCTGTTTTATATCTAGAGATTCTTGACAATGTGCAGATCCAAAGAATATGCAACTTTATTTGTCTTGACGTGCCGACTTGGTATCATTCAGTTTTCCTCTGCTCTAATGTATTCTACGGTAATTATCCTGACAAGCTTTTATCGTTGGTACCCCGACTTCAAGAATTTCATCTCAGAACTACATTGGAAATTAACACTTATAATTTCACAGTTGAAATTAATCGTTTCAACTGTGTTTTATGTCATTAGTTTTTTCTCCCTCACTTGATTTTCCTGTGAACCACGATCTGCAAAAAATTTAATTCGATGTTGACCATCATTTTCTATCGCCTTGAATTATGTTCTTTTATTGTTCTCTTTGTTTCTTTCCCTCTGAGTAACCACTTCTATCCAGGAGGCTTTCATTTCTTTGTTTAGGGGGATAATTTAAAAAGAAATGCCTGCTCGGCATATACTTTGATCATTGTTAAGTTTCGATTCAGATGATACCAGTGTATATGATTGCATCGCCACAACTATAGATGATCAAATCCTCGTAGCTGAGCAGTTCCTCTGACCGAGTTCAGAAAAACTGACATGACATTCAATCGCTGAAAATACTAAACTAGTAATGTTCCATCATCCCCGAACAGACACTAGAATTTCTCCAATCACGATAAGGGTTTATACACACAATAAGACTTCATTCGTTGAATTTTCATTCCTGACGTGAATGTATACTATTTAATATATGTTTTGTTTATACGTTATTTTTATAGATAAAAATATCTAAGTAAATGTTCTGTTTATAATAAACAGTATTAACAAACTTTACCGGTCTGAATGCTCGAGACATCTCAAAGAAAAGTTAGGGTCCTCCGACAGGAATCGAACTTGTATTCTATACATAACCGCCATTAGCCTGACGTGCTATGCCATTTAGCTACAGAGGATAGATCTCGTTAGCAATGTTAAATTACAGTTTTTAACTACAATCTTCCCATGATTTCTCTAGAACGCTTATATATGCTCAAATCTTATCTTAACGTAATCAAATAACATAATATATTATGAAATGGATTAAGTACGGCAATAAATAATTTAATTGTTGTTAATACTGTTTATTATAAACAGAGCATTTACTTAAATATTTGTATCTATAAAATATAACGTATCAAAAATATATATTAAATTAATTGCAGGACTTAGTCCCTTTTGTAATACATGTATTCTATCCAACTCTAAAGATGATAGAAAAATGGTCTGTTCGTTGCAACGTTCCAGGTAGTACATGTTTAAATTAACCATGCAGTATCGTTACAATAGTCTAATCAAAATAAAAGTGGAATAATGCTGCCATACCTAAACTGGAAATGCTTCCAAAACTTGACAGAGGTCAAATTCATTTACGCAGCCCTGTCGATGATAAATTATTATCGACCCTACAGTTCCTATCCCTGCAGAGAAAGTCTATAGCTACTTCCATTCAAAATGTTTAGTGTTAGAATTACATTATTTAGATCCACCAGTTCTGACTTTGACAGCTAGACAACCTGCCACATGCACAGTCTCGAATCATCCTCGTCCCCTGCGTATTCAATTGGTAAGATGTAAATACCACCCAGAAAGTCTGTTATCTTGAGAAGCCACTTTGTGCAACAGTCTTTCGACGGAATACCTCCCCAACATGGACGGTCATAAGTGTCGGAACTACGACGGTATCTGATCGTCTTCGAACCTCCGACTTTCGCTCTTGATCGAGGAAAACGTGCTTGCCACACGCCATCGCTGCAGTTCGTCTTGCGACGATCCAAGAATTTCACCTCTAACGTCGCAATACGAGTGGCCCCGACCGCTCCCTTCGATCATTGCCTCGCCGTAGACGGAGACCGACAGACGTAGACGAGGCCCTCTTCCATCATTCCATGCTTATCGTATGCAAGCTTGAACAGCCCGCTCTGAGCACTCTAATTTTTTCAAAGTGAACGTACCGGCCGCCGCGGACACTCGGTCAAGAGCACCCTTGGAGGAGAAACCGCCGACCGCGCACGCGCGCAAAACAGACGCGAAGATTAGACGCGGAGGTAGGTAGAGCAGGGCCCGAGGGTAGACTGGAGGACGAGAGGGGAAGAGGAGGCCACCGCCGCGCGGAAAGAACAGCGGCAGGGAAGCCCGCGGCGACAACGCGAGACGGAGCGACGCGACGCACGCCCTTTTTAGGCGACGACGGCGACGCAGACGACGAGTGAACGCCGCCGGCCGGCCGCCGCCGACAGGGAGAAACGCCGCGTTGGACCGCACCGCCTTTTGACCGCGCGCGCCGGAACGACCCCGGCGCCGCTGCACCGCAGACGGCGACGCTCGCAGGAACCCCCCACGCAACCTCCGCGGCAAACCCGCCGGAAACACCTACTACTCCCCGCGTAACTTCGCCGGCAGGACCGCGTGGCGGATGTGCAAGCGGTTGACACCGGCGGAAAGGGCCGGGAATGCGCACGGACGACCAAAGTCAACGACGGACGATGGCGCCGCCGCCCCCCGGGGCCGCGAACGCGACCACGAACCCGAGTTCGGACTACGAGCTTTTTAACCGCAACAACTTTAATATACGCTACCGGAGCTGGAATTACCGCGGCTGCTGGCACCAGACTTGCCCTCCGGTTGGTCCTCGTTAACGGATTTGAAGTGTACTCATTCCGATCGCGGGGCCTCGACAGAGTCCCGCGTCGTTATTTTTCGTCACTACCTCCCCGTGCCGGGAGTGGGTAATTTGCGCGCCTGCTGCCTTCCTTGGATGTGGTAGCCGTTTCGCATGCTCCCTCTCCGGAATCGAACCCCGATTCCCCGTTACCCGTAGTAACCACGGTAGGCACTTAACCGACCGTCGACAGTTGATAGGGCGGACCCTCGAGAGACCCGTCGCCAGGCGTGAAAGCCAGTGCGATCGACCAGTGAGTTATCCAGAGTCACCAAAGCGGAGCGCGCCGCCCTTTGGCCCCGCCGCGAAACGCCGCCGCCGACCGCCGCTCAAGGCGACAGTGACGACAACGACGACCACGACGAGAGGACGGAATGACGCGCATCGGTCTCAGTCTAATATGTAGCGCCGCGACCCGTAACGGTCGACGCGGGTGCCCACGCGCGTGACGGCACGCAGGCGACGGCGACGCGCCGACCGATCGCGGCCTGTGTCACATGTATTAGCTCTAGAATTGCCACAGTTATCCATCGCCTCCGAGGAGGATTACGGTCCCGAGGATTAGGTCCGGTTCCTGAGCCATTCGCGGTTTCGCCCGTTCTAATGCGTGGCGTGAACTTACACTTGCATGGCTTAAGCTTTGAGACAAGCATATGACTACTGGCAGGATCAACCAGGTATCGTTCTTTTTCGTGCGCGCGTTCGTCTCCTCGCCAACGGCAAACGGCGAAGACGGAACGCTGGTCGGGAGGCGGAGGTGCGGGGCGCTACGCTGCCGACGCTGCTTTTCTTTCGGCGGCTAGTCTGGCGTGCGTAAGACGGAAGAAGCGGGTCTTTACGACACCATCCTAAGCGGCAGCGACGGCGGCGACGGCGGCGGCGGCGGCGGACCTCCCGGCTTTGATCGTTAAAAAGACGTTTCATTTTACGGCGCTTTCACGTCTTTCGCGTCGTCCACACACGGCGCCGGCGTGAGAGACACGAAGTCGGTGATAGCCGAAGGAGAGACGAGAAGGCTACGGGGACGCTATGCAACGACGGCCACGACGACAGTTTCCACCGAATACCGAAGGAGGAGCGAATAACAAACGGAAACGAAGACGTTCACCAGCACCGGTCGAACGAGCTAGTGTTCCGGGAAGAGGTCGCCATTTCACCGACGAGCTGTGGCCGCGTGTCTCGCGACGAAGGCCAGCCAGATGGTGGTAGACAAAAAAAGGGCGGCGGCGGCGGCGGACGGACGAGGGCGACTACAGCAAGAAGGCGGTCGGTAGATGAAGGCGGGCGACACCCAAAACTTTCGACTGCGCCGAGACGGTGACTGGACGTCTAAGAATTGCGTGGAGAATAGACCCGTTAGTAGCGGACCGAAAGTGTGGCAGGAGCCTGCGAAGGCGGCGGCGGCGGCGGGTGATGGACGAACAGACGTTCGACGTCCCCGGGCTCTCCACCAGCAGCATCACCACCGCGTTAGACGGGCATACACGGCGATGTGACGGCGGCGGCGATGAAGAACCTCGCCAAGCAGGCTTTACGGTGTCTGTCGCGACGAACGAGGTACTACCCTGACGGAGGCGGCGGCGGCGGCGGCGGCATCGCGGATAGAGATGGACAGATCTTCGCGATACGTACACGGTCCGTCTATCTGTTTTCCCGACGCGTAAGCGAGCAGCCAAGACACGCGGGAAGAACAGGCACTCGGCGGCGGCAATTCGATTCGTGACCGACGAAACGACATCCTGGGAGGCGGCGGGCAAACGATGAAAGTGTCGCGGGCGCGCGCGCACACACACGACAGCGCAGCGCTTTCGAACACTCCTCATTCCTGATCGCATTACAAACGAACAAGTCCGATTCGAGCACCGAGTCGCAAGGACGTTCGACGCAAGTATCGATCACTGAAACGAGCGATTGGAAGGGACACAAGGATTACTCCTCGACATGTCTCCTTCGACCGAAATGATCTCCGGGCTTGGACATGCACGACGGGAAATGCGGACGGCAAACGACAAATAATCGACAAGCACGGGACCAGACAAAAGCAACGGACGACACCGACCACGGGACAACAGACAACTTCAACATCGACGCGTAGCTAACGGCGATAATACGGCGATGATACGGCGGCGGCGGCGGCGGCGTTATCGGCGGCGAGTGGTTCGACATAGCCGGCACTAGAAGAAACACTAAGACGGCGGCCAACCGGCAAAACGCACGCGCACAAAACGACCGTCAGAAAACGCGATGTTTCAGCTGCAAAGGCGGCGGCTGTGTCAAAAGGCGGCGGCGGCGGTGGTGTCAAAGGCGGCGGCTGCTAATGCTGATGACCATGCGAACGCGTTCACGGATGAAATATCCGACCTTGGTGCCATCAACCGGCGAACGGAAGTCGAAAAAGTTGTGTCGAAAGATTCTTCGGTAGGGAATGCGGTACGCGAAGAAAAAGTGACGACGCACGAGTGTTGGCAGCACTGTACCCTCACATCTGCCTGCCGAAACACGATGGGCCTTTACGATGTACGGCGAGCGATAAAGGGTTACATCTGAAGCAGAGACAGATGCGGCGAGGGAGCGAGCCAAGAGGTTTGTCCTGGAGTAGAGTATTCGAACAGTTCCTATAGAGACCGATAATCGCGAGAGAAGGCGGCGGCGTTCTCCTAGGAGGATTGTGCGAATACGCTTTCCTACTCGAAGGAATGCCGGCCAAGGCGAAATCGACTTAGGCGGCATGACGGCGTTAGGGAGCGCGGTGGTAAGAAAAACAAAAGAAGTCATGGATAAGCGAAAGTTGAGGCAAAAGCGAGAGAAAACAAACATAATACGCGTGGCAGCGAAAGGCTGAGGCCTAAGCCACCGCGAGGCGCAAAGTTGCCGTCTCCGCGACGCTAACCGGACAAGCTCGAACTTCCTACCAACTTATTCTTTGAAACCTGTTCGTGTAACAACCTTTGCTTTTTGCAAAATTTCATACTATTTAATATGAAAACTATACAAAAAGCTTAGAAATGACATAAAAACAATAATCAATAGGTTTAATTTGAAATTCGAATTTTATTTTTGAATTTTTCCAAAAAATCGAAAATCGCAACTTAGTCAAAAAATTAATTTCGCCGATCACTGCCGAGGCGGGCGACGCGCGTCCGGCTACGGCAAACGAAGGCCTTCTACGGAACTGCGCACTTACCTTCTAAGGCGCATTACGGGAGTCAGGCTACGGCAAACGAAGGCCACCGAAATACTTAGGCACTAGTTTGAGCTAGTGGTCCCATGACCACTGTCCAGGCACGATGTACGTCCGGCTACGTAAACGAAGGCCTTCGACGAACTTAGGCAAACGATTCTACTGGACTTACGCACATCGACGAATTACGGGAGTCCGGCTAGGCAAACGAAGGCCTTCGACAAAATTACGCACTTACCTTCTAAGGCGCATTACGGGAGTCCGGCTACGGTAAACGAAGGCCACCGACGCCTTCGGCAATGCGCATGGTCCCATGACCACTGTTCAGGCACGACGCACGTCCGGCTACGGCAAACGAAGGCATTCGACGAACTTAGGCATTTAACGATTCTACGGGACTTACGCACATGCCTCGTAATGCGCATTACGGGAGTCCGGCTACGGCAAACGAAGGCCTTCTACGGGACTTACGCACATGCCTCTTAAGGCGCATTACGGGAGTCCGGCTACGGTAAACGAAGGCCTTCGACAAAATTACGCACTTTACGCACTTACCTTCTAAGGCGCATTACGGGAGTCCGGCTACGGTAAACGAAGGCCACCGAACTTAGGCACTACTTCGGGCTAGTGGTCCCATGACCACTGTTCAGGCACGACGCACGTCCGGCTACGGCAAACGAAGGCATTCGACGAACTTAGGCATTTAACGATTTCCGTTCATGCGCGTCACTAATTAGATGACGAGGCATTTGGCTAACTCACGACAGCTCGCCTGCGCACTCGTTTGGCCGCCCGAAGGGCGTTGCCCAAATGTCACCGCGTGGAGGTAGAGCGCATTTTAATCGTCATCACCAGGCGAGGGCCGGAAATTCCCTTTAACCTATAAAGGTTAGGTGAGTTAGTCCCCCCGACAGAAGGGGGTGTCCTATGGGCAACGCAGGACTCAGCGGCGGCAGCAGCGATAGCGGCGGCAGCCGCGACAGCGGCGACCGCCGCGCTCTCCTCGTTCCCCGCGGCCCGTCTCTCCGTCGGCGACGCGAGCGCAAAAGCAGAATCCGGAGGGCGTCGAGGTCGAGTTGCAGGCAGAGCCAACAAACAGCGTTCCCCGCCGGTAACCCCCGGAACGACGTCTGCGCCGGCATGATGGGCGCTACCGCCCGAGCGAAACCCGGGCAACAACCAAATAGAGCTTGGGCCACGTTCGGCAGCACCGGACTGAGTCCCCCCGCGATCGCGGTGAGCGGTCCCACCGTTTACCACTGGGTGGTTTCACGTTCCCTTGAACTCTCTCTCTCCAAAGTTCTTTTCAACTTTCCCTCACCCAATTTGAGCTACGTTACCAAGCAACCCGACTCTCGGATCGAAGGCCGTCGCTCGCCGTCCGCACCGACTGAGTCTGGCACCCGCTGCGGGCGGCCCCGATCGAGGGAACTCCGAACTACGCGAGACGAAAACGAGCGGCTGCCTTCGACCCATGCGCCACACGTCCCGAAGCCTTTTACTTGCGACGGGATTCGGCGTTGGGCTTCTCCCGGTTCACTCGCCGTTACTAAGGGAATCCACGCAAAACGCGACCACGCACAGTGACGGCAGAGTGCGGCGGCTGCGGCAGAGACTGGCTTCGAGACGCCCAAGGTTTGTATTTCGACCTCCGAGAGCGAAACGATGGTTCTACCACGGCTGCTGTTTGCACGTGGCCGTAGTCAACGTCTTGCAATCTACGACTGCTCGCGGTCGTAAGGGAAGCGACCCCGCGGTCTTCAAGCGGGAGACGAAGGAGGAGAAGTGAAGCAGGCTCCTCCTGCGACGTCCCGGTTTCCTCCGCGTGAGAAACGGGCAATTCTTTCATGAAGAAAGAACGACGCGGTGGACGGTGAGATGCCTCTCGACTATCAAGTGAGAAGACATGCCATTTTCCGCCTCTCGACCGGACAGGGCCCCGAGACAAGGGATCTCGAGGCCGCAATGTGCGTTCGAGGTGTCGATGTTAACTGAGTCCTGCAATTCGCGTCAGTTCTCGCGGCTGGTCGTGTTCTTCATCGACGGACGAGCCGAGTGATCCCCCGTCCAGGATTTTGTTTTTGTTATAAGTTTTTTCGTGACAGGTTAAAAAAAGTGTGCGAGGAAAAACAAGGAGGCCGAGTTGTTGCGCGCGCGACCGATACGGTAGCAGTCCACAGCAGACTGGCACCCCGGCAACCACCACAATTTTGTCGGGACATTGACGGCGGCGTGGACCGTACACGTGATCACGTCGACGTCGGCGGGAGACGGAGGCTGGTCGGCGGCATCCGTCTCGCGATCGTGGCCGGCGGTGGCGACAGCGCCCCTCGAATCGCGTGCGCATCTAACTGAACTCGACCTCCCCGCACAGGGACGTAGAGGCGGCAGCAGCGGCGGCGGCGGCGGCGATACGTGAAACGGAACGGCTGGACGTAATACGGCTGGAGACGGGCGCCCGTCTCGCGCAGAGAGCAGAAGATATTTTTTTGTCGGACGAGTAGGGAGGAGGAGCAGCATCAGCAGCAGCAGACGCAAGGAGGCGAGGCCGTCCATGCGACGGTGGCGCGAACATTTCTTTTGGCCGGCTGCCGCGAAACGAGCGCAAGCTTCCCCCCAACCCTGTTTCGCCGACGAATAACGTGCTACCCGCGACCGACCAGTCGTGACGGCGGTCTCTTGACGGCGATACACGCTTGCTACGAGTCCCGACCGACGAGTCGTCTCCCAAAGGTACTGCGGGGAGAGAGCGAACTCGACGGCGTTTCGAAAAAGAACGGACACGACGACGACATGCGGCGCCGAGTCATCGATAATTTTCCTTCCGCAGGTTCACCTACGGAAACCTTGTTACGACTTTTACTTCCTCTAAACGATCGGGTTCGGTCGTCTTCTCCAGGCATCGAACGCCAAGGCGAATACGACACGAGCGTGAAACGGCGGCGGAGACCGCAGCCGCTGCGCCACGTGCACGCTGCCCGGCGGCGTCGTCGGCCAGATCCGAGGACCTCACCGGACCGTTCGATCGGTAGTAGCGACGGGCGGTGTGTACAAAGGGCAGGGACGTGTTCGACGCGGGCTGTTGACCCGCACCTACCGGGAATTCCTCGTTCACGGGGTTTCTTTACAGGCCCCGATCTCTATCACGGGAGGTGGTTAAGAGGTTTCCAGATCCTCTCGGGCCACCAGGAGTGGAGCCTGCGGCTTAATTTGACTCAACACGGGAAAACTCACCCGGTCCGGACACCGGTAGGATTGACAGATCGATAGCTCTTTCTCGATTCGGTGGGTGGTGGTGTATGGCCGTTCTTAGTTGGTGGAGCGATCCGTCTGGTTGATTCCGATAACGAACGAGACTCCGGCCTGCTAACTAGTGTGCCGATGTGTGTGTTTATTCAACGGCGTTCATCGCAGCGCCCGGGTATATATATATATATGTTTATTTAGGTAGAAATGATTATTTCATGTAAATTTCATTGAATACGACAGACAAGTTCCTTTGAATTTGTATTTTATACAATTTCTCATGTCATCTAATTTTTTTTCATTTCATATGATAAATTATACAAAAACATTTTATCCGACTGATTTGGCTACGCACTTAGCCATTTTCAAGGTTGAAATATTTTAACTGTTAAAAAAAGAAATATTTTGTTGTATGTATGAATTTATATAATGCTTTCATTTTCAAAGCGGTCAATATATTGTGTCCATGTTCATAGTTGATATTAATGAGGTTTTTTGTTGTTTTTATTAATAAGGCTTCCATTATTTTAAAACTTTTTTTTGCATGTAGATGAAGGTATTATACTTGTGTTGTCAACAGGTATGTTACGAATAGAGTCCGGTAGGTCTCCATCAATATTTTAATGAGATCTATTTGAGCTATGGTCAGAAAGGTGTAATGTGATTCTTCCTGCTAAAAATATAATCTGTATAATTATTAAAGAATTTTGATTGATCAGGAATACAATTACTTAATGGATATTTAAATTCGTAAGTAATATATGGAATTTTTTAATTTTGTTCTCAGAGGTGAATTATTATTTTTGACTATGAGTTTAGTGGTTTAAAATGTTTTGTAATACATGATTAATGTAATTTTTTTTGTTATTCTCAACTGGTGTTGTGCTATTTTTTATAATGTTCTTAATTCTCCTTTCGTCTTTATAAGTTTCGTTCATTCGATTTATATCAAAATATCAATTTTTATTGTATATATATATATATATATATATATATATATATATATATATAAGTTATGAAAAACTTGGCAATCCGTTTAAGTAATCCTGTGACGTGACGTGGTCCAGGGTCGATCCTTTGGTCACGGCACCATTTGTGACGTCGTCCCCCGGTCGCAGCGTCGACTGTGTCGTTCGATCCCGTTCGCGGCGCCAATTGTGACGTCACGTGCTCCCCAGGCTCTGATATCCTGGTCACGGACAGCACCAGTTGTGACGTCTTTTGTCGCGGCGTCAGCTGTTCGCTCCTCGCTGCTCCAAATGTGACGTTCTAACCCTTTGGTTAGATTGATACCAGCCTCGTCGTTCCCAACCTGCTTCCAACGCCTGGGTAACTGCACTGATCTCCGGTCTGCCTACCCACGTTTTGACTTGATCTTAGACAGACGAGATCAAACAGGGGTTGGGGCCGTAATGCAAGTTGAGTCTAACGGGGGTGATAACACACAATTATGTATAAAAAAAAAAAGAAATAAAACAAAAACTCACAAGGTCCAACGTATCAAGAAAAAGTAACAAACTTTTATGTCTATTTGCTCGGTACATAGGACTATGTCTACTTCCCGACCCGTTCTGTGGATTGTGGCACGACGCTTTTACTAGGCAACTTTAAGGCTTCCAGTTGTCTGCTCTCTAAGAAATTTGTGTTTCGGCGTGTCCTTGTACGAAAGTCGAAAAAAAAAACTTATTTCTGAGGTCTGATTCTAAGTCGCTCTTCAAACTACTTGTTCTTGGTTGAAGAAGAGTCCAGAAGTGTGCGTGAATCTTGGTCAGCTATCTTGACGCGGTTTCAACACTGGGCGCTCATCTCTGCTTGTCGTTTACGGCTCAAACTCCAATCCGCTCGCCGTCCGCGGCTGATCTCTCCAACTTCTTCTCTTGAGTCTGAATTACTGGTCACTCATCTCCGCCGTCAGTGCGCGAATAATTCTTCTCTTCAGCTTGCTCTGGTTCCAACTTCTCCACTTAGGCCAAACGAGCTGCTTCACTTCGGCCAAACGAGCTGGCCTCTCCTGCCCGCTAGGGGCGGGGACGAATCCGGCCCGCCGTCCGCGGCTGATCTGATTTCTGTCGTTTGGGGTCCCGCTTTTATGGACGCAGTCAAAAACTGGGGTGGGTCTGTCGGCGCCAGGGTTTTCTTGATAATTCTAAATACGTATCCACCCTTCTTATTTCTGGTTAGGGATTTTCCATTTTCGGTAATTCACTTTCACTCCTACTTCCTTACTGTGCCTCTGAGGGGCGTATACCCTCTTTCCCGCTTCTTCTTATCGGCTCCTCACACTTACACTTCTGACAAGGGCGTCGATCGATTCTCCTCGTGCGTCACGTGACCGCTCTCGGCCAATGAGGTCCTGGTCGGGTGTGGACAATCCGTGGCTTTGTTCTGGGGGAAGAAACACCATGCTTAAAAAAAAAACAAAATATTAATTTAAATCGCCCTTATCATACGCGACCGAGATGACGCTCTCGGCTTTTTTAACACGTGGTATTTGTCAAGCAGTTTATCGCTAATTGGATATGGCCTAAGAAAGGGATTTCTCAGACTGGGTGGCGTTTTCGTGAACGAATAAAAATATTTCACTTTTTCTTTCGCTCGAAGCTTGATAACAAAAATCTTCATTATCTCAAAAAAAACATTTTCAGCCAACATGATCTTGTGTGGCTTTTTTTCAATTCTGGAAATTCTCTGTGTTTTCGTATTAATGGTTTGTCTTCATATCCTTAGATACACTTCCCACCTGTTACCTATCATATTTTTTTCCATTGTCCCTAAACTTTGTTTCTTCAACCATTTGATAACAAACTTCCATTTTTCGTGGACACGGAAGTAGGTCAGGTGCTTGACCTGATATTTTTGACACCTGGTATCTGTCAGTCGAGCGTGTGTGTGCTCGCTTATGACCTGTTTTTCGTATTATTTTTTCTTTCTTTATTCCAGATCGCTTGAACGCAAAGAAAGAATTATTCTCAAAACCCAAAATATTTTTCAGCTCTAAATAATTATCAAATGATTGACAAACCGTAAAAAACAAATTATATATTTATGAATATTTCTCTTCAGCTCGCTAACTACGCATGGTGCCAGAATCCTAAGGAGGATGAAATCCTGAGAGCTCAATGTAAATCCAGAGCTAATATTTCATTTTTAATATTTTCATTTTTCGTTTCATTTTTGAAAGTGCTATCTGAAGATCCGGCGTTCTTTAAAAGGGCTCTGCTGAAAACATTATTATAATGGAAAATCAAATTGTTTGTTTTTCTTTAATATATATATATATATATATATATATATATATATATATATATATGTGTGTGTGTGTGTGTGTGTGTGTGTGTGTGTGTGTGTATATATATATAAATACACACACACACACACACACATATATATATTTAATAAAACAGATAATTTGATTTTCCATTATAATAATGTATATATATAATATATATATATATATATATGTGTGTGTGTGTGTGTGTGTATTTATATATATCAACACACACACACACATATATATATATATATATATATATATATATATATATATATATATATATTTTGCATGTTACTTCATAAATGCATCAAGGGCTGTCTTCAGGGATGCAATGTCGTCATCACCGATTTCGGGTTTTGCATCATATTGGCTCGACCAGCAACCCCGACCTGAGTCCGGAAGAGTCAGCCCGCCTGCTTAATAGCGTCGTGCTACGCTCCTTGGAATTGAAAAGAAAAAAAAATTCAGATATGTCCAGGAGTCCGACCGTTCTTATTGACATGCGTCAGTCAACCTCAGCCAATGAAGTAAAGGCTTTTCACGCTCACCTTTAGACTGCCGTCTTTTTATTTCATCCGGTTTTGGTTCGAGTTACCTCACCTGGATTCCAAACACAGTACGCTGGTCTCTTGCTTGCATAGTTTAATCCACTCTTTTATACGTTTTAATACTAATCCCTCATTAATACAAACTCTTTAACTAAACCTGCACGCGTGCCAAACGCAATTTTTTTACGCTTCATCTAAAGAAATTCCACAAAAAAAGAAAAAGAATACTACACATGTATGTATGATCACGCATCTACACACACACACACACACACACACACAAGAAAATATTTGTATATTATCAAATATATTTATCCAAAAATCTTTCAAGCTGCCAAATATCATTAATTTGTTATTTGAATTCACATATCTGGCAGTGTGAGAATTTTCCGGACACACTCGCATAACTGCAGGATTAACTACACTGTTGGATAACCATACACGCTCTCACACTCACACACACACACATAAATATATATTTTTTCCAGTATATACGCTCGAACAAAACATACACACACGTTTCGTGTATGTGAGTCCGTATGATATTGCAGATTTCATTATAATTATAATTGCGTATGTGTGTTGGTGTTTATGCTATCTGGTGTGTCTGTGTGTTTTAGGCGTGTGTAGTAGCAGATTATGTGTCTGTTTATTTTGATATGTTAAATAGCACCAAGATTATATGCATGCATATATCCTATTTGGCATATTGATGTCTATGTATAAAAACATTTATAATTATTTTTCTGTTAAACATGTTATAATATGGATGTCCTATATTTCCTATATTTATTTGAGAAAATTTATCAATATCGTAGATACAGCATTAGCACACACACACACACATAAATATATAAACGCACACATATATGAACAAACACACACATGTACATACACCCCCACACACAGACACAGACGCACCCCCCACAGCCTTCCTGTTATATATATATATATATATATATATATATATATATATATATATATATATATATATATATAGAGAGAGAGATAGATAGATAGATAGATAGATAGATAGATAATCTAGTGAGCCAGACAAACCTACCCAGGTTTCACCTAAACGGATCGTGAGGGAGAGCCGACTTTCCCTGACGATCAGTTTAGGTGAAACCTGGGTAGGTTTGTCTGGCTCACTAGGTTTATCTAGGTCTGCTCTACGGTTGTATTGAGCTCTTTTAGTTAGT